TACATTTCACAACTTGGACATACCCTTTGTTAAGTATGAATTCGATTATTCTGATAAATAATATTAAGCGAATTCAGGCTTAACTGTATCGAAAGTAATTTTCGATAAGTCAAACTAAAAGACTTAATATTTATTCACCCCAAGATAAACGTTTAATTCTTGAAAAAATAATTATTATTTTTAAAAAAGTAGAGGATTCCCTTTTTAAGTGTACTATTAATTCAGTACCTCCGATTAGACGGTATTTTATATTGAAAATATATAAAAAGAAAAAGGCTGTATATAGTTGTAGAAAGTAATGAGACACTTCAGTTATATGAGTAGTACAAATATAAGTAAATTTATTTCATTCATAAAACTTGAAAATTAATAGAAAAATCGTACAATACAAGAATATAAACTATCTTTAAATTATTTACTTGTATAAATCGTTGTAAATATTATTATGAAAAAATGCCCTTTTAATAGAATAAAATTAATATAAGATTCTCAATATTCATATAACAATATAATAACAATAAACCAACAAACAATTTTTATTTATATAGTAATTATTATGTTTTAGTGTAAACTTGTAATGTGTGTGTGTAAAAATGCATAGAACTAGAATAATTAATAATTCACTCACCAACTTACAATATATTTTATTTTAATCAAGGCACAGAAAAGTCTCTGATTACTTTCTACAAGTGAATCATTTACACCTGTATCAGATTCTGTATAAAAATTGTAGTTTTCTTGTTTACTATGTTTCTGATTCTTCCTTCAATGGTCGTTTAATTCCTTTTCTTTTTATTTATAAACATCTCTCTCTTTATTTATTTAATTCAGCAATTATATAAAAAATAATTTTAATATTCAGTTTTCGGGGTCACTGAATCTAAACTTCTAATTCATTCTGATATTTTAAGATAATGAAACTGAGAGGTCTTCAAACCGCAAGACAGAGGTTTGATATTTAAAACCCAGTCTTTAACTTTTAACTTTTTCACTTTAACTGTTTATTAATTCACTTTATCAACGCAAAATAATATTCCCAAATACTTTTCTTTAATTTCAATTCTCTTTAATTTATTACTTTATTTTCTTTAATATTTCTATCACTTTTTCACTATTCACTTGTATTTTCTTTTATGATATTTATTATTTTTCTTATTTTCAATTCAAGTAACTTAGTAAAATTCTTAATGTAATTCTTTAAATCAACTATTTCAAGCGATAAAAATTCAACCCTTACTTTGGGAAAAAAATATTAAAACCTCCGTCTTTTTACGGGAAATAAAACAAATATAATAATCATCCGCTCTGCGGGAAAAACAAATTGACACTCTACCGATTTTCGGGAGGAACACATAATTCTACGCAGCTTTACTGCGGGAGGAACAAATTCGGACTCTTTAGTTAAAACGATCGAAGGTATGGATCACACCTTGAAATTATTATAAAACGACAGAGTGGGGATGCCGGTGCACACGGCTCGCCAAACTTCGTTGTTGCCAGGCAAGCTTTTTGCAATCTTGCAAATTCCTTAAAATGGCGTGATATAGTTCGATGCTCTATATCCTCTATTGCCAATATGTAAATGTATTCTTTTTCTTTGTATTTTTACCAATACAATTAAGCGTCTTTTCTGTGGAAAGTAACTTATAACAAAGTAGACAAATTCCTTTTAAAATAAAAGTGATGTCAATATTCTTTCGACCAATTTTAGAATTATAATTATAAAAATAAGAATATTATTAGGAATAAAAACCATTGAAGAATGATTATCGTTATTTTTGAGTTTGGATGATTTAATTATAAAAAAATAGTTTTAAGACAAATTAATTAATGAGTTAATTATGTAAAAATCCTCTTATGTCCTGATAATATGTGTATTGAGTACTTAATTCTATTTACAAAACTCCCAAATTTTTAATGAAATTATACAATATAGCAAACTTTTAATTAATGAAAAAATTAAAAATAGTTACGAAGTCATACGTAACACCTTTCAAGAACAAGTGAAAAGTGATGCCGACGAACCGTGTGAACATTTCGTTAGTTCCAGTCTTTTCGATATATTTTAAATAGGTATGTTTTCGTTGCCTGCACTAAAGGCCAACGCAGAATAGATCTGTAACCGGAACCGCAATCGTAACCGTAAGCGTAAGAATAAGTTGGAGAAGGATAAACAATATACCTATCCTTCTTTAACTCATTCTTACGGTTACGCTTACGATTGCGGTTCCGGTTAAAGATTCTATTCTGCGTTGGCCTTAAGTGTAACTTTTACACCACCTCAAGAGTAGGTGCAGAAAGTGTAGCGAAATGTATGGTAAAATTACGTCACATCCGGCAAAGAGAACAGCATAGTGCAGGTTAGGTGTTAAAGTGTAAGAAGTGCACGCAACGAAAACATACCTAAATTAGACAAGAGATCAATTTTATTCTAATTAAGGAAGATTTCGACTATATCAGCAATTAGTGACATCTATTAGACGTCGATTGAACTCTTTGGTTTAGAGTCCGGTGTTATTCATAAGATAATTATTCATAAGAAAATTATTATTTTAAGATAATTTTATTCTAGTTACTTTTTCTTATAACTACATAAATTTACTTAAATAATAGGTATGTTCTTGTTGCCTGCACTTCTTACACTTTAACACCTAACCTGCACTATGCTGTTCTCTTTTCCGGATGTGACGCAATTTTACCATACATTTCGCTACACTTTCTGCACCTACTCTTGAATACGTCGACCGAAAGCAGAGAATCATGAGAGTGAAAAGAACAACAATATATACCTATCTCTTTTGCACTCATGATTTTCTACTTTTGGTCAACGCATTTTGTTCAAATGGGATCGCACCTTTATACAAGGCAACTTCGGTTCAACTCGGAAGTGGTCGGGGAAGTCCAACATACTTTTCGTATAAAGTTAACGAATATTCCAAAGAAAAATACAACTCTTACTCATTTCTATAAGAGAAGATGAAAATAATTGTAATAATTTTTGGCATTCTGTACTTTCATATTCAAATACTCAATTTTTAAAATAAATATACTAATTTTTATTCTTTTAAATATTGTACAATATATTCATAATATATTTTCTTAAATACTGAAATAACCCTACTAAAAATAAAATCAGGAATGGTCAGACAAATGGTCAGGCCGCCTGACCACTTTAATCCAGTTTTCTTACGATTCTGGATGGATCTTATCAGAAATCTATCACAACTGATCAGGAGGAAGTTTAAAGTGGTCACAAGTTTGCTACTATCCCCTCCTCTTTGTTGACCCCGCCCATAATTGGTGACTATTTGAGACCATTTATACCTCATTTTTGACCATATTTTTAAGCCACTTCTGTTTTATTTATTTAAACAATATGCAAAAAGTTGCAACAAATTAATTTTAAAAAATATATTTTATTAATTAATATCAGTTTGTTTACATACGGAACAACTTGAAACTAATTGCCGGAATTAAATTAAATTTGGACCCTACGGGGATCGAACCCCGACGCATGACCTAACCTAGTGCCTAAACTAACTGCCCTAACGACTGCGACTACCGAACCGACTTACATATTTCTGGATTCAACTGTCTATATAAAGAGCAACTGTAAAATAGTAAAATTCAATTACCAATATTATCAATAAATCAGAATAAACTGTTAAATAATTTTTATTAATTAATTATATTTCAATTTAGTCATAATAGGTTATGTGAATTAATAAAAATTAACATTATTAATTGAATCAATAATAAATTAAGTCTTAACTTTACAATTTGTAATGTTTCATAAACTATAATACGAATACAGATTAATAATAATTATTATTATATCTGCATTTAAAATGAATTTAGTATTTAATATTAATTTAATTTAACATTATAATTTATAATAATAAATTATTAATGCAATATTGAAATTTTTATAAATTTTAAATTTAAATTATTAATAATCATTATAGTAAGAAATTATTCCATTAATGATTAATAATAATTTAAATATAACTGTATTTCAATTATAATGCAAATACTTCTCATAATAAGTACTGACTGGTATAGTAAATTACTAATATTATGAAACAAAATTTATTATTAATTAACTTTATTAAATAATTACAAGTAAATATACATATATTAAATTAATATATTATAAATATACATTAAATAAATATATTAAATAATGTTAAAAGAATGGTCCGAATGTTTTGATTTATTTACCTACTTTTGCTGTATAATTAATTCAATAATTATACCAATTTGAAAAATGAGAACTTTTGTTAAGTTAAAAGAACAATTTTTATAATAGAATAATGTATTCTGAAATGTAAAAAATAAATTTGAAAGATTTTATATGTATATATAAATTTTCATGAGACTTTACCAAAATTAGAAAGATGTACCAAAATTTTTATAGGTTATGTGTTCACACATTTTAGAAATAGTCAAGAAAATGGTCACAAATTCGAAAATGGTGGGAGTAAAGTGGGAGGAGCTTGGAAAGTATTTGGTTAGGAATGGTGAGAAACGTTCGAAAACGTCAGAAGTGGTGAGACTGTTCAGGAATGTTCAGAAATTCTGACCATTCATGACGATTCCTGATTTTATTTTTAGTAGGGAATAATTTAAAAACTGACACATTTTCCCTAAATTAATATATTTTATTTTAAATGTTCATACACGGAGAGAAATCTGTTAGGATTAATGCTCGAAACTTTTCATATACTTTTTCCATAGATTCTTTGATGCTAAAATCCTAAAAGAGAGCCTATTTATTGCTCGAGTCCGCCTGAATATTAGGCGGAGTCGACTGATATTCAGGCGGACCTCTTATACTTTTCGCTAGTAAGTGCTTATGCTATATTCATAACCTCTACTCTATGCATTATTCGCAACAGATTTCTTTTCGTGTATGAAGATATCAAATAATACTATAGTTTTTCTTTCAGTGTACTTTTATTTATTTCATTATGCTTTACGCAATAGTTTTATAATTTTAGGAGACAACAATATTATAATAGTACCCGGAGCAAATGAACTGTTAACGACTGAAGATATTGACGAAGCAGCTGTTGTAATAAAACATTCATCAGTGTTAGTCTGTCAATTTGAAACTCCAATTATTACAACTTTACACGCACTGAGGTTGAAAACAAATAATTGTTAGTGAAACAAATTATAAACTACTTCAGTCAAATATTATTTAATAACCATCATATTCAGACATCATTATTCTAATAAAAAACTATTAAGGCACCGACAAGTTAATGTACAGTTATTTCTTTGTTTTCTTCATGTAGATACAATAGAACTGTAGAAAGTTAAATATTTTTCAAAAAGTATATGGAATAAATACATTACTGCATCGAAATATTTCGAAAAGTCAGTAAGAGTAAGCAATTTTCGTAAAGTCCCTACTAAAAAAATAATGACAAAACACCAGAAAAATAATCAGAATTTCTGGTGTTTTGAGCAGTATTTCTTACAATTGCAGCTCAAAAACATTAAAAAGAAATAGAACCCCTCAAAATTCTGTCAAGAATCATTACAACTTTTATGACTGTGAAGGTCGTCACGCTTTTTATGACTTAGGTATAAAATCGAAAAACCATGACTTTTTTAAATGTTTATTTCAACATTATTAATAATTTTTATAAACTCAGATTATTTTAAAGACTGTTTTACGTATACCTTATATTCTCTAGGCTTAAAATTTAAAAATGATATCAGTTTTTACATATCAGTTATAGTTTGCGAGATAGCTTATAATTCCTGTAAGATAAAGTTTCTTAGAATAAATTTTAGATATTTGGAATCATGAAATATCACAGATTCTTAATTTTTTAATTATAAATTTTAATTAGTTAAATTCAAGGTTAAATTAAACAAATTTCAAGTCATAAAATTTTTGTTAAAACCCACATATATGATAACGGTATCGCTCGACTCAACTCAGCAACGCAATGAGCAATTCGATACGCATCTCTCTTTCACAATAGATTTCTATAAAACAAGAATTTTATAACTTAAAACTTCTGCATTTTAACTAATTCGAATTACTCATTGTTGCTGAGTTGAGTCGAGCGGTTAAAATGAGACCATTATCCTGTGGGTTTATGGTTTTTAACAAAAATTTTATGACTTGAAATTTGTTTAATTTAACTAATTGAAGTTAAAAAAAATGAAGAGTCTGTGATATTTCATGATTCCAAATATCTAAAATTTATTTTAATATTATTAATTTGAAGATATTAACCCATTAAGGACGGGATGTACAAAATATGTACATAATGTTTAAGGACATATTTCAATACTAAAATGCTAGAAGAAAAATTTTTGAATACATATTTCTTATGTATCAAGAGTCCCTATTTCGAATGGCGTGCTCAAAAAAACTAAAAAATGTTAAATAAACAATTGATACAACATTTTTTAAGAAAAAACACGGTTTTTTAAGATTTTTCAATTGGGTTTTAACATTTTTTATAGCTAAAACCTTGAACATACCTTCTACTGTTATAAATATCGCATCAAAAATAGTAGGTCTACAAGATAGAACTATTTTGGGAATTAAATTTGAAAATGTGTGCCAGAAAATGGCGACTAAAGTTAATTTTTTTAAACAATATTATAAACAAATTGAGAAAATGTTTAAAAATAGATAATTCTGCTTGTAACTGGTCACTTGGGAGTTTTTGGGGTCGCTGATTACGAATATAACCTTACATTTCCAAAATTTCCCGGGTAGCAAAATCCAAGTCGCTACCAGAGTACAGATCTGATGCAGACCTGTTATTCTAGATCTGGAACGGATCTGGAATTTTACATGGTCCAAACCAGAAGCAGACTTGGTAACCAATTAAACAGCTCTATCTATATGCAGGTACCAAAACTACTAAACCAATTGCACAAATAATGAAAAGTCGGTAAGGTGAAACCGATTGAGCCCTTGAACAGGTAGGAAAATAAGGATAGCGACGTACAGAAGTATATTAAGAGAAAACCGAAATTTTAACTTTGTACTGCTACAAATTTCTCTTTACTATTTTAATGATCATTCTCTATATTTGAATTAGTTAAAAATAACTAATTTTCAGAAAAGCATATCTGATTGTCAGTTAAAAATAACTGATATTTTAGTACACTCATTTAACTGATTCAATTATAATTAAATAAGAATTATTAATTAAGCTTAATGAGATTAATTAATGAGTAGCTCATAATATTAATTTTTTCATTATATACTATAAAATACCGAATATTTATTCATAACAATAATAATTTGTAATACACTGAAATATTGATAAAATTTGACCAATTTTTAGTTGTTTTTTACTGATAACCATTAATTTTGTCATTGACAATAAGTTAATTTTAACTGATTGCAGAAGTAAAATGTCAGTCATTTATTGTTAGTTAACCCAGTGATTTTTAACTGATTCAAATTTAGAGAGCACAATTAAAATATAATTGTTCTTGTCGTTTCACGAATATTTATATTTTATGACCCTTATAATGCAAAATATTTCCTTCTGTATGCTTTTTAAAATTACTTTACTAAACAATTGGTTACTTAATGTATTTATTGGACTGAATTCAGATTTATAATTGTTTAACCTAATATTCGAAAATATTTACTCGGAAACAAATCCCTGTATTTACAATAAATTCTATAATTATTACTCTACACAAGTAATTTATGCTTATAAATTAAAAACCGAGAAATCTGAAAATGTACTATATAAACAACTTTTGGGAATTTCCCAAACGTAGCATGAGCGCGTAAAGTAACCCTGAACCGCAGGGGTTCTAACTATCTTTTCTTTCGGGTTTCAGTAAGTGAGAGAGAGAAAGAGAGTCTATTTGCTCTGCTTTTTGAATGCAATTTTTCTCTAAGCCCAGATTCTCAGACCTCCGAGATGGTCGAGCGGTTAAAGCGTTTTATCTTGCGTCCCCTACGTCACCAAAACCTGCGTTGCGATATATAGTTAGGTGCTCGAATCCCTGCGTTTAGGAATTTTCTTAATATAATTATAATCTACGACTTTAATAAAAAAAATGAAATACTGTGTTTAGGAGTGTATATTTAAGTAGTTCTTCCAGCTTAAAATGAAAAAAAAATTGAAAAAAATTAAAAAATAAACAATTTAAAACATTTAAATTTAACTTAAATTTTGCTTTTTGTAATTTATTTAAAAACAATCTTATTCATTTGAAAAATGCCTATTTTATTAATTGCAAAAGATGAAAATATTATTATTGTATTTAAATTAAATATATTTTCAACTAAAAACACAAATTTTACAAAAAGCAAAGCTATTATAATAAACAGCAAAGCAATGACCAGAAAAAAGCAAGAACCCACGCTAGGTACTGTCGAACGCCTTGTTACCATACGAACAACAGAGAAAATCAAATCTGGTTATATACACGTTTCAGACATGTTCCGCGTTTCAAACCAGCTTTAGCACAGACTTGGTTACCAGATCTGGCCCAGATCTAACCAGATCAGTTACAGACCTGATCCAGACTTCAATTGCTACCCGGGTTAAAGTGTCGGATCCGATATGGCGGACCAGAAATTTTAAAATCAATCAAATTCTTTTGAAACTGGTCACTTGGGGATTTTTGGTGTTGCTGATTACGAATATAACCTTAGTTTTCAAAAATTCAAAATGGCGTATCCAATATGGCTGATAAGAATTTTTAAAAACAATTGTATTTATCTTGAAACTGGTCACGCTGGTGTTTTTGGAGCCGCTCATATCCTGAGTTTCACATTTTGTCAAATGCTATTAGAAAAGAAAGTATAAAGGAATCAGCCACAGATTTTGTGTTAAATATTGTCAGACACAATTTAAGGTACTACTACACTTTAGAATTTAAAAAATTTTTATTTTTTTTTATTGTATTTTGCTATTAGAAAAGAAAGTATAAAGGAATCAGCCACAGATTTTGTGTTAAATATTGTCAGACACAATTTAAGGTACTACTACACTTTAGAATTTAAAAAAATTTTATTTTTTTTTATTGTATTTTTTAACTCCTTATGACTTCAGAAAACACCTCCTAAAGTATTTATAACCAATTGTAAGAAAAAAAAGTAAATTTTTCAAAAAATATTCAATTAATGTAAAAAGTCATTGACAAATTAAGTAAGTCTTTAAAAGGGGATAGTGGGGTCCAGCTTTTTGTTACGACCAGTAGAAACATTGGTGCTAATGTATGTAACAGTGTCTGAAATAAAAAAAATGGTGGGGTTTCAATTTGCAAAAGAATTTTAGGTAATTTATGGATGGCCTCTAACGATACATATAAGTTTAAACGCGTTTTTCTCAAAATAACGTTTTCTCAAATTGCGGACAGTTTATCTCTGAATCTACTGAACCGATTTTAATAAATGATAACTCGTTTTGTTTGTTAGCATGTCCTGTGTGACAATTTACCAGAAAATGGTCAAAAAAATTTAAAAAAACATTTTTGCAGACTAGAAAAATACTGAAAAACATAGTGTATTTGGACAAAAATTATTGAAACATCTGCTATTTTTTTATTTTAGTCGATTTTTCATTATTGGCGGTAGATTTCTTTGCAAGACACCTTCCTTTTTAAAAATCAATTTGGATTTTTTGTTTCCGATTTGTCAATCTTGAGATAAACTGTCCGCAATTGGACAACTAACTTTTTAGAGTTTCGATCTGCATGCTGTCGACAGATTATGATATTAAATAAAAATTAAAAACAAACCATTATTTTTATTCTCCAAATATGTACAAATATAGGCAAAAAAGTTTTTTAAATATTTATAATAAAAGACCTAAGAAATTTTTTTTTAAATTTGGTCTTTTAAGAGCCTTCTAAAGTGTAGTAGTACCTTAACAAAATGTGAATCTATAATGATATGAAAAATCACAAGGTGAAACATCGCAAAGGAGGAAATACTGCTCTTAGGATTCTTATGATGTAAGAACGTTTTTATTTTGTCAGCAATGTAATGAATATTTTTTAAAACAATGTTTTTCAAAATCGCATAGAAAAATTGGTTAATTAGAATAAGAATAGATTCAAATTTTTCCAAAAAATGTTGAAAAATATAAAATAAAACCAAAATAAAAAAAGAACAATTTTTAAAAAATTTTAAAAATATTGACCAAAATACTTA